GGGGGGTCATCCCTGAAGAGTTTGTTCTCTTTTGTGCTTCGAAAGACTTTCGCCGGGTCTTCCGGCTTTTCCCTCTCAGTGCTCCCCGATTGCCAACGTCCTCGATCTAAATCTGTCTATTAGACACGGACGTGAAAATGACGTGAAAATGGCGTGGCATATCCATACATGGGCACAACACGTCATTTTCACGTCGTCTTTGACATCCGCGTCCTCGATCTAAATAGAGACCTTACGATTTTAGGACGGCAACGCGACGGCAACGGCTACCAATACAATAGATCATTGAAAAGAATTGAAAAATTACAATATATAAATAAGTTAGACATTGTCCTCGCTCTGTTTACAACGCCAAATCACAGATCTTCACGTCTTGATACAACGGCTGCATTTCAAGCCGCAACAAGTGCAACTTCAAACTGGGTTCAGGAGAACTCTTCCCAACCATAAAACCCATGTCTTCAACTTCTAAGACTGTATTAAATTCATACGATTGATAATGTACGACGAATTATCTTTATCACCATTTATTTGAAGGAGTTTGTTTTGGCCGTCGTCGTCGCGTTGCCGTTCTAAAATTGTAAGGTCTCCATACGACCCGTAGGCGGAAATTAGGTCTCAGCTCAATCTCGTACCTATGCCCGTTCGCAGGCTGAGTGCTGGGCACATAGATGTAGCAGGTTGGGTGCTGGTGCGAGGACGGTTAGCCCCACACCCGACCTTATTGTTGTCTTTGTGTAATATCAAACATTAGACAATGCTTACAATTTCCGGAATTTTCAAAACGCCGGGAACAGACTTTAGATACTGCACGCCATCATTAATACCACCAGCCATGATTTTGAACCTGCAAAGATATGGCAAAAGACCCAACGTAACGTCCGAAGCGAGAATCGAACCCATGATCTTAGAGATGAAAGGCGCTTGCTGTGATGACCCCTTATAGGAGCTTTTAACTGCATTTTTTGACCGATAGCAAAAATATGCTTATCATGAAAGGAACATGGAGCTTACTACTGAGTAGAGCGCGCTATTCTTTTCAAATTATCCTCAACGTAACATACTGAAAAAAACTCCTCTTAAAGATCAGTTTCTATATCTATATCTATACATACCGTGTTAGTGCAGTGTTGGCACGAATTCACGCTTGTTTCAGTCTTCTTGTAATATATAGATATGCAACATATCAACTTTAAAACACCCCTCTTATATACCGTAATATAGACACGACTAATATATTCAGTCAACATAAAACAATAGCGAAAATATGTATAGGTTATTTTGAGGCAACGAGGGGATATGTGATTTATTCACCGAGGCGCGCAGCGCCGAGGTGAATAAACACATATCCCCGAGGTGCCTCAAAATAACCTATACTTATTTTTCACACTGCGAGGTCGCGTTAATGAGTCAGAAAAGAAATAATTCTCAATGCCATATTGCCTTCGCGATGTTGTTTTTTCTCATTTTTGTGTGCTGCAAAGACATTGCAGGTGAATATTAGAGGGGATTATTAATTGCAGGTGAATATTAGAGGGGATTATTAAACGGAAATTGATTATAGGGGAATATTGAATATATTCCCCGACAAGAACAAAGGAAACCGAGCAGGGTGAAAAATAAGTTTTGATATTGTCGAAAAGGCATGATACTAAAATATGATGAAATACCTATTCATAAAATACTATATATTTTAAAGTCTAGAACTTTAATTTGTTAATTCTTTTTGCACAATATGTGTGATTCAGACCCGTAACTAGGATTTAGATTTCTAAGTCGAGCGCTAAAGTAGGCCAGTAGGGGGCGGGGGGGGGGGGGAATG